CTCAGAGTGTTTTACTAACCTACCCAAGGTCACCACACGTTCCAGCTGTGAGATTAGACTTGATTACAAGACTTCTCGACTCTTACCCAAAGCTACTTCCAGTCAACTGCCCTGGAGGATTGAGGATTACTTTTTAAATTTAATTTAATTTTGTTAGTACATGTTTGTGGTACATCATGAATATTATTCATTGTGAGTAATAGGTACATGAACGTGACACCAACATTGCTCTTTTTAAGTAAGAAGAGTTCTTTTTTGGCCTCGCTATTAATAATTAAAGGAAAACTGTATTGTGAAAATAGGACAGGATGGGGTTATGCTGTAGATGAAGAATAAATTGTATTATCTTCAGAAGAAGTAAGACTGTTTTTCTCTACCAAATGTCCCCAGGTACACAGTCCCCCTGGACTCATGACTAAGTGACTGGTAACACCCCCTCAAGTTGTGCAAGTATGGTCTCACTCTCAGAACATCCTACTGAATTCTCCCTTGTATTTTTTTTTGGGGGGGGTTGGTTTTTTGGGGGGTTTTTTGTTTTGTTTTGTTTTTCTCCGGTACCGGGAACCAAACTCATGACCTTGCGCTTGCCAGGCAGGCGCTTTTGCCGCTGAGCTAAATCCCCAGCCCTGAATTCTCCCTTGTATTGTTGTGAAGTGACATGATGCACATGTGATGAGAATGATTGCCATAGCTTTAGGCTACTACTGACCCCCTAAGGATCAGCAGTAGGAAGGAGGATGCCATGCTCATGCAGATTGACTGCATTTAACTGAAATCAGAGAAGTGTGATCATCCCATATAAGAAAGAGATGTCTCATAATCCTCTCACTAGCTCTCTTCCCCATGGCATTTTAAAGAAACAAAAAGAACTGAGCTCTAGCTCAGTGGGCTTCAAACCAAGTTCCGGGAGGCCCTGATGCACTGATGGGGAAGACTCTGGGTGATGAGGGGAGACACCGAGGCTGGGGTTGTGCATGCTTGGCCATACAGGAGGCACTCTGCTTTCACTCTGCCTTCATCTACATTGGAGTTCTGGGTAGAGTTTTGATCAAGAAGGGGAAAAGGTACAAGTTCTAAGAAAAATCAGGAATTGACAGCTACCCTCTTAATGCGATCCATTTATTGAATTACGGAGTGCAAAGCTCAGACCCAGAAGAACCCACTGAGCCAAGAACCAGATGATCCTCCTCTTTTTGCCACTTGGGCCTCGCTTTCCTGGTAGCTAGTCACGCTGACCACCACACAGTCATGTTTGACCACACCCTCACCGCAACCCCACATCCACCGAGTCACCGGGGCCCTGGTTTGGCCTTCAGGTCAGCCAAACCAAAGGATCTGATTGTCCTTTACTTGTTGTCACACACCTCTGACTGTTGTGAAGTAACCACTGTAATTCTGATTATTTAAAATCCTCACTACAGTTAGGCTGCAGTTTAGCAAATATTGTCAATTCCAGGCCAGATGATGTTCCTTTAAAACAATTCCAATTAAATTTTCCTAGAAGGCAGACCAGATACTTAAGAGTTCTTTCACTTCTTAAAAATTCCTAAAATTCAGTATTACCAAGGAACCAGCGATCTATCTTAAAGTGGGTTCTCTGAGCAGGTGAGTTCCTAAGTGAATAGGCACAAAGGCGCTTTCCCTTTCCAGGCCCAAATTACCTGCAGCAGCAGCAGATGATGCTTAGGTAGTAGCAAAGCAAAAATTCCTGGGGGGAGTTGGTGCAGACTTAAAGATTTTTAAATAATTTGGTATTTTATATTTCAAATAAAAACACCTACGTAGTCATTATGGGGAAAATCAAAACACTGTGACTTTAGAATGTAGTGTTCTATTTCCTTGAAATTATACCTAGAATAATTCCAGGGGCTCTTGCGTGACCTGGCTCATCCCTAGGGCTCCTCTCTGAGCTGGAGGAGGAAAGGGCTGTGAACATTTTAGACCTGGGTTTTGCTGCTTCTCTTTGGAAACTGAATTTGCCCCAGGTGAAAGGTATTCACAAAATAGTTGGAGAATGAGGTCCCTTGTCAACTCACCAAACAGGCTCAGTAGCTCCACTTAACAGGGTCAATTTCCTCTCTATAAGAAGATTGGCCTTAAGGGGTTTGCCCTTGAGTTCAACTCTCCTTTGGCTTGGCTGGACTCCTCCGAAACAGGACAGAAAGCATTTATGAAGTTCGTCTTAAAACACAATAAAGGCCTACAAAGCCCTGGATGACACAGCTTTTGACAAGACATTTTAGCTAATTTCTATTGGAGTATGTTTTTCCCCAGAAATGAAGGACCCCCAACCCTGAAAATGAAAGGTCAGTTATCAAAGAAGAAATGTTGAGGGATTGAATGTGTTTTCTTTACAGTTTTTACTAATGCCTTTCAAGAATTCTGTTCTCCCCAAGAAAAATAGAGATAGCAATTCTAATATTTATCTTTGTGGATATGTGTCTGTGCAAATGATGTGTGATATTTTGTGAGAGGGTGCGAATCTGTGTACAGGACTAAAGTGTGAATTACTGATATGTATATGTAATGGGTGTATGTTCAACGACTATGTTTGTGTGTGTTTCTGAGTGTGAATCCAATCCAAACAAGAATGTGAGTTTATAAATGTTGGGTATTGAAAAAGTTAACCTCACACAACCAAAGCAGATGTTTTAATGGGATGGCAAATATTTCAGTAAGTACTTTGATTTTCCTCAGATAAAGAAAGCACAAGAAAAAAGAAACAGCCCTTTCCTTTTTCTTTTGGTTAGGTACATTTTTAACCACAGAAAGTGCCATCTATCACCTATGGCATGGATATACTATATCGTTTAAATTTTTGGTTTTGTTTTTTTTTTTTTTGGTAGTAGGGAAATGATTGCTCCTAATATAAATGACAAATGATTCTTTCCTCGGAGGAAGTTTCCTGTCTTTGTTGCTGATCTGTATGCCTGGTCTAATTACTAAAAGCTTAAGCCTGGGGTTCAGGGAATTGAGGAAGAGAAATTCTTCTTTCAAGAGTAATCGGAGAGAAGCAGGGAAGGGGTTGGGAAAAGAGGGAGAGAGTGTGGATGATGTGGAAACCATAAGGAGAAACCATAAGCTCCTGTTACTAAACAGGAGCTCAGCTCAGATTTCCTCTGATGAGTTCCAAGGCAAAAAAATGTGGTTTGGGGTGGGTCCGTGGCAGGGATGTAGTTTTTTGAAAAATAGCTGGCAGAGTACCTGGACCCAGTAGAAAATTCCTTCTTTTGCTGGTTTGGTAAGGGCAGCTTATGATCTAAGTGCCCACTCTTCTGTCTTCCCGGAGGCCCCATTTCACTTGGGGCCAATGGTCCATGGTGTGACCAGCTGGAAGAAGTTGAGTGCCCAGCGTGGGTGGGTACTGTGGGCACTGGGAAGGGCTGCAAGCATTGGCTGCGCCTGGTTGGGAGGGATGGGCCATTGTCCTCCTGGACTGGGGCGGGTGCAGGGTCATTAGGTAAAGGATGGTGTGGTGTCTGCTAGCCTGAGGAAATGGCTTGCTTTTGTTCTCCACCCAGTAAGAAATGGACCTGAATCCATTAGATTCTGGGCAGTTCAACACAGCACAGTTAGAGATCTTGGAGGCTCAGCACTGAAAAGGCTACTTGTGTGGATTTGTGTCCCAACCACCGTTGTGCAGTGTGCCCATCATTTATGCGTTTAAAGCCTGTCAGGCGGGAAATCTGAAGCTGAGGTCTGGAAGACAGTAATGCCAACAGACACGGGGAATGGTAAAGTGCACCTGTAGAGTTAAAAATGCATGACCCATTCCCTCAAAGAGGGAACACGGGAGAAAGACCCCGTCCTGGAGGGTGGCTGCTGAGCTGTCATACATAATTCAGGGGCCCATGCTGCTCCATGCAGATGGCGATATTAAATCATGATTGATGCTAAGAGACGCGCACATCTCAGGAAGGCCTCCAAGAGGCTTCTGGATATTTCCATGTCTCTTGTGCCTCTCTGTTCTAACTGTGGTATTAAGCAAAACCCCCCACTTCCCAAGAACCCCTGCTAGGGACCGCAGAACTTCACTTTCAAATAGATGAGATTTTTCAAATGTCATCGCCCACCTCTTCTGCCTTTGAAGGTCGCCCCCTTCCTTTCTGGCCCACATGAGGCCGTTTACCTCCAGCCAGGCTCTGCAGGGAGGGGGAGCCAGCTCCTGCCTGCCACCGCCTTCCCTGCAGCTGGAGTGGCTGGACAAAGCAGCAGCACACTCTGGTGGTGGTGACCAGGCAGAAGGGACAGTGCACAGAGATAACACAGGCGCCCACTCAACACAAAGCACCTTTGCCGAGCGAGATTCCGAGGTTGCACCCAGTGGCTCCTCCCATGCAGATTTTTCCACTTGGTATATAATGAAATAATAAATCAAATTTGTGGCATATGTGGAATTAAATGTTTGGGGATTTTGCTTTTTCTTTCTTAAAAAGAGAGGGGGGAAAAGACTGAAATCACTCCCCAGAGTCTATTCTGACCCAATGCTGAAAGTGCTTCCTTGCACCACATGTAATTGTTACCAGGCTTGCTTGTGGGTCTGCACCACAAAACCATGATTGTCAGTTCCTGGAGCTTTGACTGCTGGCTCCCTGGGCCGGGCTGGGAGACCAATGAATAAAAAGAAGGATTGATGAAATAAAGATAGAGGTGGGAGGGTTGAAGGAGGAGAGGAAGACAGGCCAAGAAGAAGAGATAGGAAAAGGCAGGGAGGCAGGTTGAGTGTACAGCTTTCTTGTTTTTATAATCTCAGACCATGTGATTGGGAACATTTATGACCATTTTGTGGAATACTTGCTTCGGGGGGGTGGCTGGCAGGGGGAAAGATGAACTGAAATAATCTCTTCCACTGAATGAGTAAGTAGGTTAGTCTCCTGGACTGCCACGAATGAGCTGTAAAATAGTTTTGATCAGCCACTGAACAAGAAAAGAGAAGGGGGGTTGTGGAGGAAAGACCGTAACATATGTGAAGCCCTTTGGGTTGCTGCTTTCTCTTCCAGACCCACCCTGTGGAGGTCGTTTGAATTCCAAAGATGCCGGCTATATCACCTCTCCAGGGTACCCCCAGGATTACCCCTCCCACCAGAACTGCGAGTGGATTGTTTACGCCCCCGAGCCCAACCAGAAGATTGTCCTCAACTTCAACCCTCACTTTGAAATTGAGAAACACGACTGCAAGTAAGCATGACTGTGTTGTACAACTGTGCTGCGCCTGGGGGAGGGGGAGGTGGGAGGGGGTCTCACGCACCCCCAGCCCACCTCTCGCACTTCTATCCTTTCCGTTACCCAACAGGAGCGTTACCCAACAGCAGCAGCGGGTCTCAGCCCCAAGGATAGACCTCAAGACCACATCCTCCTTCAGGGAGATAAGGGGCGCTGACCCTGCACAAAATGGAGGACAGAGCCTTCTAGAGTCAAGTGTAAAGAATAGCACCCAGTCTCTAGAGATGGGGAGGGCTTCCAGGGGGGCAGGGGTGGGCTCTGAACCCCACATGCCTCTTGATGCTGGGATTTACCTTCCCCTTGGAGATGGCCCTTTTCTACTGCTGCTCCATGGAGGAATGCACCCATTTCCTCAATAAAACAGTAGCTAGCCTCCAAGTGAAGACTTCTCTGCCTCCACTGTGGAGGGTCAGCCTATTCTGTTATGAAGTGCCAGCTGGTTGCCTTATCATTGAAAGAGAGAGCTCAAAAATCTGACTGTGAGGGTAGGTCTAAGACTCATTGATTCTTGATATCTGTGCTGCACAGGTGAGAGTCTTCAATGTGATGTTATGGATTTGTTTAATACTTTTCTAATTGCTTTACAAATATTAATCCATTTGGTCTCACAACGAAAGGGCCTGGGAAGTTGGTGCCCCCGTGATTTCCATTTTGCAAATGAGAACACTGCAACACAGAGAGGTTAAGTCAGGCACCCAAGATGACTCAGCTGTCTTACAACATGACATCAGTCCTGTCACCTGGGAAATGTGGCGTAGGAAATGCTAAGTGGACATTTAGACACTTGTGAGTGCTTTGGAAGCCATGTTAATACTGAGGTCTCTCTGTATAAGCAGGCAGCACTGTGATATCAAGAATGCAGACGTGTGTGTATTTTAATGAGCTGTCTCTTAAATTCTTTCCTCACTGTGCAAAGGTGGAAGTCTGGCTGGGCATGGTGGTGCATGCCTATATTACCAGCTCCCTGAAAGGGTGAGGCGGGGGTTCAAAAGTTTGATCCCAAGCTGGACAACTTAGCAAATTAATGAAAGCATGTCACAAAATGAAAAATCCAAAGGGCTAGGAACAGCTCAGTTTGAAGGCCCTGGGTTCCATTCTTAGTTCCCCTGTCCCCAAAGTGAAAATTCTCTGTGCAGAAAAGAGGGTCTCACGATGTACTCGGCTCCAGATCAGCACCCAGTGTGCCACAAGTGCACCATTAAATGTTCAGTGTCCCACCTGACGAATAAACACTATCACCAAAGGCACTGTCGGTGCTGGAAAGTGAATAAAGAGGCCAGCTGGTGGGACAAGTATAGAGCAGCAAGCAAGACTCCTGGCCTTCATTTCAGAGCAGGCGCAGGTCCCAGCCAGCACTTCCTCTGGGAGGAAACAAGGCCCCTCTTTAACTAGCACTCAGCCGGCCGAGAGGCTTAGTGAATCGATGCCATTATTGCCCTCGGAGGACTCCTTTGCACCTACACAGCGGTCTCCTCCTAACAAGAGGTAGTCTTTGCTGAAACCCAGAAGGTTTCCGGGATGGATGCCACATGGAACCAAGGGTCATTTGATGGAGTCTCTAATCTCAGGGCCACTCCTGACTAAGCGGATGACAGTGGGTGACACTGGTTCCTCTTTGTCTCTGTTATGTCCACATCCTGGACACACTGACTCATTGCGTCAAGTCTTCTACTTCCCTGGCAGTGAACTTTACCCAGAGTTTTGGTTAAGGGAGAGCTTCTTTAAAAGGCATGCAGGGCCCAGGTGCCTCTGGCTGGGTTGAGGCAGGTTGGCACACACTGACATAATGTGCAGAGAGCATGGGGCTGAGCTCAGAGAAATTCAACTAAGCACCTCTCCCCACTAGGGCCAAATTCTCTTCTGCTGATGCAAGCAGATCTTGAGGGGAAATTGCTAAGAGGCCATTTCTGAGCGCCTGGTGGCAGAGTGAAAAGGTACAGCTTTTTGGAAGGAAAAGCTCCAGTGTTAGTGAGCGAGGCTTCAGACGTGCTGGGAAGTATGAAAAGGTGAGAAAAGCACGCCCTTGCCCTACTCCGGGCTGCGGCAGCCCCTTTGCCTGCGCAGGCCTCGGCCTCCATGCAAGGAGAACTTCAGGCGGCTGGAGCCTCTGAGCAGCGGAGGCGCAGACCTTGTCCCTGGCTGCAGCTGCAGCTGAGGAAGCAGGCTCGTTCCAGGGTAGGCCCTGGCTTACCCACCTCGCTGAGCAGTTTCCTGTTTTCCTCCCTGCTCCCCACCCCCACGCTTCTGGCTTGGACCTGAAAGGTCAGGAAGGTCGGGAAAACGTCTTTCTGGAGTCTGTTTCCCCGTGCCAAATTGTCAGAAAGGCTCCACTGGGTTAAACTTCATCTATTGAGTCGAGTGCTCAATTGTCCCCGCCCCCTTTTCTCTGCTCCTCCCTACTTTCATTAATTTTTATATTCAGAAAGACAAACCTGGGTCTCTCAACTTCCCCCTCCTTGAGGTATTTTGGACATTTTCTCTGGTCATCCGCATTGAGAATGCATGAGAGGAGTTCCCCTCTCCTCCTGCCTTGCTTTACTCCACTATGAAAGAAACGCTTCATCTGTTTCAAGTCCTGGAGGTCTTGTCAGGTTCTTACTCCTTCCCTCTCTCTTCGTTTTTGTTCAAAGGAAGCTCCTATATTTGCAAAGCACTGTTACAGGAAATCAGCTCCAAACTGAACAGGGCTCTCTAGGCCCGAAAGGTGAACACTTCCCAAAAGGAACGGCCTCCCCCTTCCTTCCGATGATGGCTCACAGCAGCGACACCCTCGCAAAAAGGGGAAATGAGCAAGAAAGTCAGAAAAATAAAAGCCACCCAGCTGTAGGGAAAGGGCAGTCTGTCCTTCTGTTTTTCTCTTCCTTTTTCTGTGTGCAGGATTTGTTGCAAAAATTGCCCCGACCCTGGAACAGCTCCCGATATGAAAGAATTACCCTAGTCTCTCAGAGAATTACCCTAAGCCTGCAGTTCCCTGTACCTTGAAATCTACATCCCAAAGGTCAAGGTGGTTGCTGAGTAAACCCCAGACAGACCTTCCCTCTAACCGCCACTTGTTCACTTTGTTCCACTGAAGCCTGCTGTCTGCTTGGAAAATTTCACTCACAAGTCTCGGCCTCGCCTGAGTCAGTATGATCAAGGCCACCATTCCCAGTGAGCTCCTCTGGTCCCTCCCTCCCACCCTCCCTCCCTCCCTCAGGCCTGAGCACCCACAGGCTGCCATGGGACCTAGGCAGCCCCTATGGGCAGTGCCAGGACCATGCATTCGGGGCAGAAGGGCAGGACTTGGGGCACTGAGGGCAAACAGAAAGAAGCCGCTTGGTTCCCTGGGGAGCAGAGGAGGCTAGGAGGCTGCTGCTTTGGCAGACAGAGGCCTTTCCCTTGAGTCATCAGCCAGCAGGCTGAGTGTTATGGTTTTAGAAACACACATACAAAGCTGAGCATTTTTTCCATTTCTAAAATTTGGAATATCTGTGTTTTCTAAAACATTCACCAGTGTGTCATACCAGCTCATCCACAAGTCCTCAAAGAGGCGTGGCAGCCCCTCACCCCAGAGGCCCCGACCCAATAAAACCCATGTCCCGAGGCTGGACTCCCTTAAGAAATGGCCATTTCCAAATGGGTGTCTTGGAAAACATTTTTCAAAAAGCACAAAGACCACTAGGAAAATTTGAAAGAGCAGTTCTTAGGCTAAAGATGATTGGATGTGTTACATGTGGTAGCAAAGTAGTTTATTTACCATACATCGTGAAAGATGGTGTTCATGTAGGCGAAATTTCCAGATACTAAAACAAATTCCTCTAAAGATCCAGAGGTGCTTTTCCAAAGGGTAAATAGTAACATCTTAAGTCATGTGCTTATGTCACGCTTGTGTGTCTTCGTACACAAAATGACACTTAGGGGGAATCGACTGTTTCTTGATTCAGGCTTCTGATTCTAAACTTCACTTTTTGTGACACTGGTGCAGTATCATACTTGGATTTGACAAATTTAGATTCAAATTGTTGACCTCTTTAACTTTCTAGGCCTCAGTGTTCCCTTCTGTAAAATCATAACAACAACTACTGCGCAAGTTTGCAGTGCCTTTTTTATGTAGATGCACAACGAATTAGCAACTGCATCAGCACCTCACTGCTTTGTCCTGGGAAAGTTTGGGACTATTTCCTATCAGGGCTCTTGTTGCCCCTTCTGCTATGCGCGGGCCTGCCTCCTATAGCCTCTTACCTCTGAATTGTATTTCCTTTTTGTTTAAGAAAAATACTTTTACTTTTTACAATTTCACTTCAATTTTGTCTTTCTGTCTTTTAGGAAGTCTGAGTTCTGGAATCTAGTTCTGCCCTAAGCCAGTGTAATACCAAGGCCACCACTTCTACTTGGTTCAGGCAGCCAAGCTTACTGCAGACCAAGAACTGCCAGGCATGGTGGCACACTCCTGTAATCCCAGCATTGGGAGGCTGAGGCAGGAGGATCATTGCAAGTTCAAGGCTAGCCTGGGCTACAAAGTGAGTTCGAGGCCAACCTGAACTGCGTAGTGAGATCCTGTCTCGAAAAGACAAAAACATAAATATATAAACAGCAGAGCAAGAACTGTGAGTGACCCCATATGACCAAGCATAGGGCAACAGTGCATGGAGTTATCAGTCTTAGTTTAGATCCTAAAAATCTTTTTCTTCTGCTCTCCCTACCCCTATATTTTGGATATCTAAGGTTTTGGACATTTGGCCTCTGGCTAGTCTCCTAGATAGCTAGACCAGGTTCACCAGATCAGCACCCTATGTATAGCTACAATCTTCCACCTGCAGAAAGCACCCTGAGTGCCCAGTGCTGGAGCCCCTTCTCCTTTCCCCCACCCCCCTCCAGCAGCCTGTTCCCCTCTTCTTTCCCCCGCTCCTTGGTTCGTCCAGTTCTCTACCGTGGGCTCCTGTTTTGACCTCCTAGAGCAACTCATATCACCTTGA